AATTAGTCAAGTTATCAAAGAAATATGAAATATTATCTTCACACAACCCAAAAGTTTCCTCAGATGAAGTCTTTCAAATTTTCAAAGAACAGATTATTTGATTCTATTAAATTATTCCAAGGTATACAATAATTGTCAAAAATTTTAAGAAATTTAGGAAAACACTAAGACAGCAAATGTTAGAAAACTATAGCTCTATATTAGTAATGAATCTTGATAGAAACTTCAGAAATAAAGTAAAATATAAGGTTGATAAACTGCAGCAACACCTGTATTTATAATCTACTGATGCGTAACTAGTTACTTCAAAACTTAGTGGCTTAAAACAATAATTATTATCTTTCACGGTTTCTCTGGGTCAGAAATTCAGGGGTGGCTTGGCTGGGCAGTTCTGACTTGGATTTCTCATGGGATTGTTGTTGAGTTGCCATCTAAAAGCTTGACTGGGTTGGAGGATTCCCTTCTAGGGTGGCTCACTCACATGGCTGGCAGGTTGACTGTGATTGTTGATGGAAGGTCTCAGTTTCTTTTTAATTGGTCCTTTCATGTGGCCTGGGATGCCCCTCAACATGGTGACAAGTTTCTTGAGAAAGAGAGGCAAGCAAAACCTGCATCCTTTTTAATGAATTAGCCTGGGAAGTCACATATCATCACTTCCGCTGTGCTCCACTGCCTGAGGCAAACACATGCCCCAGCCAAATTTGACAGGAGGTGACACAATCCACCTATTGGTGGAAAGAGTGAAAGTCACATTGTAAGAAGAGCGTGAAGGATAGGGTAAATTATAGTTATGGCCATCTTTGGAAAATGCAGTCTACAGGGGGTAAGGTATAGCTCAGTAGTAGAGCACCTGCTTAGCGTGCATGAGGTCCTGGGTTCAATCCCCAGTAATTCCATTTTAATTAAATAAATAAATAAACCTAATTCTCTGCACCCAAAGAATTAAATTAATCTGCTACAATACCAAAGTATATTATAGCATGATGAACTAGTAGCTTATTCCAAAAGGTAAAGGAAGGTTCAAAGGGGAACTCTATTAAACTATAAGCCATCATAATAATGTCAAATAAGAAAGCCATATAATTATTTTAATCAATGCCAAAAGTTACCTCTTAAAATTCACCACTGATCCTTTCTTTAAAACTACAAACAAAGCAAGTTAGCTACAGAAGAATAAAGAAATGCAAATATATCTCAAATCCAAAGGTAAAACATTAAAAGCATTCTCATTAAAATTGGAAACAAGGATACCACAAATTCACTATTTTAAAATCATTAATATGAAAGCACTTGCCAAAGCAAGCAGACAAAATTATTGTAGAGGGTCTGATTGTTTTTCTGGGAAAACCAACTGAAAATTATTAGCAATTATGAGGGAATTCAGTGTCCCAGAAATTCCAGGACTAGGTTTGTACCATAGAGAAACTTACACATTTATACCAGAAGATATGTACAAGCGCATTTAGAGTATCACTGCTCACCAGCAAAAAACTAGAAATAATCCGAAAAGCCCAACAACACTAAGTTGGATATATAAGCTGTTTTTCATACTGTGAAATAGTACACAGCAGTGAAAATAAACTGCATCTACATCAACATGGCTTCTTTGTAAAAATCTAACACTATGTTAAAGTAGCCATTCACAGAAGAATATATACAGTGATTCCATTTATATAATGTTCAAAAATAGGCAAAACTAAACAGTTTTGCTTAGAAATGTAGACATAGGTAGTTAAAACTCAAAAAAAAAAAGGTAGGGAATACCAAACGCAACATTGAAGATAATAGTTTAATAGCTGTCTCTCTAGCAGAAGGAGGAATGAAGATGTGGGCTTATCAGGGGGCTTTTAAAAGTATTTGCTGGTCTACATGGTGGCTATCCATGTTGTTATTGTATTTTAAATTGTACATATATATTTTCATATATTTTTGCATGTATGTAGTATATCCCAATAAATGTTCAACTTAACATATAAAATCCAATTACATAGCTTAGAGTTCAGACATAGAAATAATAATTAAAAGTTATTTTTAAATGACATTTATAATAGCAATTAAAAAATATAAATTCCTAAAAATAAGTTTAACAAAACTACTTGGAACCTTTATAAAGACAATTTTAGAATTCTGAGGGATTGAAAAAAATAGGAAGATATTCTTCAATCTTAGGTGGGAGAAATAAATATAACTTTGTTCTTATTAAACTTATCAAAATTTTCAGTGGGCTCCCAATCAGAATACTAACAACTTGGGGGTGGGGGGCATGAACTGATTTTCAAGTGCTTTTGTGAGATAAAAGAAAATTAGGAAAAAGGAATAATGAGGGGAGACTAACCCAATGGCATATTAAAACTTTAATAAGGCCTCTATAATTTTAACACTGTGTGGTAGACACAGGGAAAAAGATGATTAATGGAAAAGACTAGAAATCTGGAAATGGACCCAACTATTATAGTGAATTCTAAACATGACAAAGGTGACATTAAACTTGTGGGGAAAAGATGGCTTATTTAATTAATGATACTGGGACAGCTGACTCACTATTTGGAAAAAAAATTTAAGCTAGATTCCATGCCTCAGTTCTTATGTCTTAGTGACTAGAAAGAGTTATACCAGATACGCATTATAGCTTAAATATTAACTAATATAATAGCAACCAATTATTAGTTTTATTTGTCAATCACTTACATGTATGAATTTATTTAATCTTTGCAATAACCCTATATAGTAGGTTTTATTTCTCCACTACATAGATGTGAATCTGGTTAAGGAACTCTAATTTATAGAACCAGAAAGTGGTAGAGACATGAAACAAGCTTAGATAGTGGGTCCAGGGCTTGTATTATGATATGCTATAGTAATAAAACATACTAACAGGCTAATATATCCAACATCTAAAAGTTACCATATGTAACTTTTACTTCCTTTTCTCCAAAATGAAAATCATCATCATATTATTCTGTGGAATGTTCCCAATATATGAGCTATTTCCTTCCTTTTCCTTATCCTCATTGAGTGAAAATGAAAGGGGAAATTCCTCTTCATTGTCCATTAAATGCACTACATATAAACGAATAAAATTAAATACATTCTTCTACCTGTCTAAGAATTGAGAAATGGACCCATGAAACAGGACAGCCCCAAAAGTGATCTGGGTGCATGAGGGCATGTGTGTGTTAATAATATAGTAATTTAGTATGTGAAAAGGTAGCACCACAGTCAGTGGAGAAAGCAGATGTTACTAGGAAAGTAAGTGGGAAGAAAGAGAATGTTTTAAGTTCTCCCATCATTTCTCACACCTAAATAAATACCTGATAGGTTTAAGAGTTAAACTTATAAAATACGTGAAGCTATAAAAAATAATTGAGGAAAATAAAAGTAATTACATATTAGATTTGGGAATGGAGAAGAGCTTTCAAAGCATAAAACTATACATAAAAAGAAAAAGAAAAAAGATTTCACTTGAGGTAAATTCAAGTTATATCAACAAAGAAGTCCTTAAAAGTAAAAGGGAAATGATAAACTAAGAGAAATACTTACAGCATATAACAAATAGTTTATATATTTTATATACAAAGAGTACATTTTATCAAATGGAAACAAAAGCTCAGTAGGAAAAAAAGTAATGTATGTTGAGTCAATTTATCAGAGAAGGAATGCAAATGACCAATACATATATGTTTAAAATAGTCGCTCTTAATAAAGACTGAAAGGATGCAATTCAAGGCTAAATTTTAAAAGTAATATTCAGTGCTGGTAAAGGTTCAACAACACAGGAACTTTCATCAAAAGGTTGTAGTAGTTAGTTCATGCATTATTTCTACAAAAGAGCTTAAGCTTTCAAAAGCCTAAAACATGTTTATATCCTTTGAATCTGTTATCCTATTTCCCAGAGCATATCTTGAGGAAATAGAGATACACTTAATAAGTTGTGTATAAGAATATTTATTATTAGTTGTTTATAATAGTAAAATATTGGGAAAAATTTAAGTTTTTTAAAAGGAAATTTAAATAAAGCATGGCACATACCTGGAATGAAAGACTATATAATCTTTAAAACTCATGCTACCAAAACATACTTGGATAAAAATTCACTGCATATGTTAAATGAAAAGAATTACACATATAACAGCCATTCATACATTCAACAAATATTAATTGAGTGCTTACTATCTGCCAGGCAGAGTTCTATATACCGGGAACATTCCCTACCCTAATGGAGCCTATTTGTCAAGATTCAAGTTTTTTTATATATACTAATTTCTCTATATTCATGTATCTTAAATTATGTTTGTATGTTTGTGTATGGATATGTATGCACACATACTAGTATTTGTACCGATTAGTGATTACATATGTATATTAAGTACTGGATAAAAGACTGTAAGTAAATACATCCAAATGTCAATAATGGCAGTGAACTCTGAGTGGTGCACAAGGATGAGTAATCGATTAAACATTACCAGCCCTCCACAATATGCCCTCACCTTATACATTCACACTTACACTCTACTGCAACTAGACCAGTTTCCTTATTTGTCCCCTCATATTCTGCCTGAGACTGACAATCTTCATATCTGGAATGATACCTTCCAATTTATAACAATTATTTAAATTTGAGTCCCTGTTCCTGTCTTTTGCTTAGAAGTGCTACTCATTGCAGCATTGTTTACTGTGTGATAACTTTAGAAATTCTTATTAACCTCAGGTGCCTTATTTCCCCAGGGTTAAGGAAAGACATTCTTTATCTCAGGCCATCAAAACCAGTTTGAATTATATAGTAGACTTGAATGACTGGCTGAATAAATGAGTAAATATTGGGAAAAGAAACTGGGTGGGAGGCAGGGCCTTGCTGCATAGGAGGCTTGAAAGCTTCCCAGCCCAGTGAGGAACATTTTCTATTTAGTCTGGCCCATCCATTCCCTTAGCTACTTCCACTACTCCCACTATCCATGGAGAATTCAGGGGCATTTTATAAGAGGAAAGACAATCCCACTCACCTGGGATCAGATTGTGAGGAAAATAATGAACATTCCTTCCTCCTCTATATTCCTTTTTTGGGGAAGGATGGAGTGTTGAAAAGGCTGAGCTGAGGGAAAAAGGAGGAGGCATGAAAGACACCATGATGTAAAATTCCCAGACTCACCACAATCCCCACATACTAACTGTACGTGATCCCTCAAGTCTCCTAGAAAGAGGTCAGAAGGAACCCAAGAACATTTCTGTTCCTTTTCAAGGGAGGAGAGCTATAAGAATTGGCACCCAAGATCTTATTTCTAACCGTTTAAAAAAAGTACAATTCTAGTTTGGGCATGAAAACCCAGAATCTGATTTCACAGTTTAGTCTCTCCAGGGATGCAGATACTTTCTACATAAATTAACCTCTCTGAGCCTCAAGGATTTCCTAGTTTATTATGAATAGCAAGAACAATAAAAAAATAATCGGAATAATAGCAGCACACTTAGTCTCCTCCTAAATGTATTTATCTTATTTTGTTCAATCAGTTAAGTAAAAAGATAATTCCACCACCCTCCCCTATTCTTACAACATAAATAAAAGTACAGAGTCTTAGCGAAGGATCCCAGATTTAGACTCCCAGGATCTGATCATAGTCTCAACTTTATAACCAACAACTTGTAGAACTTGGAAAAAGACCAGACTCCTAGACCTCCCAGTGCCTCACTTTCCTCACCTGTAAAACGGGGGCATGAGCCTCTGCCGTCCAGGTCCTCCCTTGCTGATCACGGGTACCTGGGGAAAATGATAAACAGTTAAGAGCCTTCTTTCTCTAGAGAGAAAAATGATTCATGGTGTCCCAGGAGCAGGGCAGATTTGGGCTCCTCCTATGCAGCAAGGGCCTCCAGAATTCGTACATCTCAAGCCCCGGATTCAGACGTACAAACGGTTCTCGCGGAGCGGGACCCGCGCGGCCTCTGCTCCTGCAGCAAACACACGCCCGGCCCCCGCTGCGCATCCAGACGCCCGGCCCGAACTCCGCCCCAACACCTCCCGGCACCTAGCACTCCGGTCCCAGGGCGCAAGCCGCCTCTGCCTCTCCGTTCCCGTCCCTCACTCCGTTTTAACGTGGGGAGGGCGGCTGTGTAGGACCCCCCTACGCTGGTATCTCCTTGATTTCTAAGGCGGAGCGGCCTCTCGGCCTCCTGGCTGTCCTTCTGCCACTCAATCTTCAGTCATAGCTCTCCCCGCCCATGTTCGCTTCTAGCTTGATGCTCCTGAGAGTCTGCCTCACTTACAGAGCCTCTAGGGAGGGACGGGGACCAGCCAAAATTCTCCGTCTAGACAAACAATGGCCGCAGCCCGCTAGTCAGAAACCGAAGCTCCAGGCCTTGGAGTAGACACTCGGGGCGTTCCCATGGAGACAGGAGGGGCGGGGCGGGAAAGAAGAGCGACGGAGGACGTGGCTCCTGATTGGCCAGAAGGATCGGGGCGCAGCCCAGACTTAAACCACCCGCGTTCCTGGAGGGAGGATGGTGCATCACTGCACTCTACCGAGGAGGTGCTGAGCCACCCAAGATACTAACGTTAATGGGACGATTATAGGTGTTTTTAGGGCCCCT